GAAACACAGCCTTTCCTTTTTTAGCCTAGGAGGTCTCAATATATCAGATCTTAAATCTATACCACTATTCTACACTGGAAAACAACTTTCAGCATGTTCTAGAGCTTTATTAATTTTATAGAAAGTTTTTATTTCCTGCTTTCTTTTTTTTTTTTCCCTTTTCTTTTCATGGGGAGGTGCACGGATAGATTTGCTCTACTTCAAGGGTTTGAATTTCTGAGGTGTGAAAAGATCCTGAGCTACTTAAGAGGAATTTCTCAAAAACACTTATATGCTTGTATTTTGAGGGAGAGAAAAGCTGTATAAAGGGTATGTTGCTGCCATGAAAACATGCTTCTGACCCTCTTGCTATACTCTATCTAACAAATGACTATGTGAACTCTGAAGTTGTCATGAAATAGCTGTGTCCTCATACTTTCCTTGGACTCTTTTTCTGTCAGTCTTCCTGATTTCACCTCTCCAGGGGAGAGGCAGGATTTCTCAATTCTCTTTTCATTTTGCTGTGTCTCTCGTAACTGTGCCAGCCCAGAAGTCTGAATGGATTTGCAACTTTTCTTTCAGGGAGTCTTCATTAAAAATAGAATGGTATTTAAATATTTAAGCTTAAATATGCAAACTTAAATATTTCACATAAATGGATTTGAAAATGACAATCTACATGCATATCTGTCCTGCCTCAAGCTTTCCCATCCACTAAAGGGAGAGCAACCAAGCTTATTTTCTCTGTAAACAACAGCAACAGCTTGCATTCCCAGGCTGCTCAGTCATAAATCTTGTCCTTTGTCAATCAGATCTCTTGATCTTTCCTATGCTTTTTTTTTTTTCTGGGCCTGCTTGGGATTTCAACATTTTAGTTGAGATGCACTTCTCAGACTGGTTATATCATTAGTAGATTCTCCCGGTACCTACTAAGACAAGCACTAAGATGGACATTAACATTTTGTAAAGTTCACTTTCTTTTGAGAGGCTGTCCCCTTATCAAAGATTTGCTGCCTGTTCTGTTTCTTTCCAAAGTCTACTTTTTGAACTCACTTAATTCAAGACCAATAGCCAAGGCAACATATTGTATTCATAAATTATTACAGAGCAGCTCCACTTTCATCACAGCAGTTATGCGACTTCCCGCGGATCCAACTTCCAGAGCACACTGTCTTATGTTTCAAGGAGTCATCATGCCTTTCCCACACGAGAGAGCTCTGGTGTTCTGGTAACCTATATAACCTGTATTTATATGTATTAGTTACATTTTGACAATGTTGATACAGCAACACAGGCTTAGCCATACAGAGTGCTGTGAGAAATGTCCTCCCTTGGATCAGTAAGGCACCAACACTTGTCCTTCGTATCAGCAAAGTGAATAGTCCTCATGATGACACAGTGCCAAACTTTAATTGACTTTTCCTGTTCTGCAAATTTAACATGCTTTTTGCCCTTCCAGAGGACTGAGTCACATGTAACATAGGAGTTACAGTCTATAATTGTGAGGAAAAAATTTACATAGCAATACCAGAGGCATTCTCCTCTCTGCACCAGTAAAGAGGTTTCCCGGCAACAGCAACATTGTAGAGGTACTATGAGATAAAACATAAAATCACAGCCCTGAGCACCTGCTATCATCAAGCATCCCCTAGCACTCAGCACAAGATTGAAGGTGTTAGTTCCATTTCCCTGACCAGATTCCCCTGTGATATTTTAAAACCCACCTGCAGCTTCACTTTCTCTTGGATTTCTAGCTCTTGGTTTCCTGCATGCTGTTAAAATTTGCCAGTTTCCAGCTGTGGTTAAGGAAAAGGGGAATTGTGCGGGAGATGTTTATTCATCTGGACGAGTAAACAAAAGACACTTTTTGAACTGAAGTTATTATTTGCCTTGGAAATGGCAAATGGCTGTGATCAGCACCTCAATTAGCTCCCATGCCTGATGCCGAAGCTTTTTTCAGTGACATGCTTGCTTTGTCCTGTTTTACAGTACAGAAAGAAAGGACAAATTATATGACCATTGTAATTATTATGTTTCCAAAGGAAGGTTTCCATTTCAGAGCATTGGCAGTTGCATCGAATAGCTTTGTGCTCACTGCCACATTTTCCTTTGTCTTTGTTAGCTCTGGGGTCTGTTCTGTGCCACGATTTAGCTCTTTTCTGACACCAGACAGCTCACTTTAGACTGGCAAGACTCAGAAGCTAAATGAAAGTGAACTTCAAGCAAAGGGTTAAACTAAATCTCTGTTGGTGTGAATAAGGAAGAAAATTTCCCGTCAAAACATGCATTAATATTCCTGTCATATACACTACATTTTATCCATTATTTGGATGGTCTAACAAATACTACATGAGTTTAGTCCAAAAGTCACCTCACTGTCTGATTAACACATAAGTCATATTATAACACTTAGAGAACTTTCAAGCATATTCATTTGTAGAAATAATGTCATGTGAACTTTTCAGGTCAAGGAACTATCACAGTACAGATTTGTCAAGTATTTACCATGAATTGAAACATATTTCTGATTAGGTGTGGGTGTTCTGTTGTAAGAGAAGTGCTAAATAATAGTGATTGTACATTTAGCAAGTGCAAATACTTGTATGTGCAAACCTAGGTTTTTGCATGCTCAGATAAGGTGGTTTTCAAATTTTGCAGGCACATTTATGGATCTCTGAAAAATTTTACATTTTCAGTAGGGAAAGAACTCTATTACTGAGTTCTAAAATACCCTCCTTTTGAATGCTTACTTACTTAAAAACACAGTCAAATGATTTCAGATGTATAAAGCTTGTTAAATTAATGGAGTATAATAAAAAGTTAGTACATATAAAAGTTTATAAAAAGACATAGCAAAATAATCTTAGAAGTAGACTGTCATGTATATGTTGTGCATCATCATGTTAAAATTTTTTAAAAGGATTACACTGAAGCCAAATGAAAAAAACAAAGAAACAGGAAAAAAGGATGGATCAAATGTCTCTTTTTGAAACCTACAGTTTTCTTAATATTGCTCCAAAAATGCATCCATAAAAAGAAATTAGGTAATTGCTTATCCCCTTGGAAAAAATCAACCCAATGAAAACATTTCCTGTTTGTTCAATGTTTTCTTCAAAAATGTTGAATGTGGGGGTGATTCTTTAGGAAAAACGTATAGTTTTGTCACTTAAACACAAGAAGTCCAAAGAATTCCCTACACTGAAGAAGAAATTTTGCAGGGGAACTTTCTGACCACTTTATCTGTATCTGACCAATATACATATCCCTAATCAGGCAAAGTTGCTGATTTATGAATGTCTGATGCTCATAAAGGACTGTGGAGAAAGGAGGTTATTTCCCTGACACCGCTTTGTAGAATGAAAGTGAGTGATGCAGCTATCCTTCACCTTTAGGTTTCATATTACAACTTTTTTAAGTCCAGGAGTCAGTTTTGAGCACTGCAGACAAAAATAAGGGTCAGTTTTCTACTGCTTGAACAGAAGTTCAATATAGACAAAGGATGGTGGGGAAAGATGCTGGGAGGGTGAGGAAAAGGACCATATCAGCAGAAATGTGACAATGCTGTCATCTAAATTTGAGGTCATGGAGTGTAATAAGTGACTGACACCTTACTGGGCATCACCCGTGCAGAGTGAAAGTATAAAAAAGCTATGCCGTGCAAAATACAATTCTTGTTAAGTACTCTTGCTGTTATCAGTAAACTGCTTCAATAAAAATAATTCAGGCTTTTAGGAAGGTAAGCTTTTCAAACTGTTGTAAAATTACTACAATATATTTTACACCAAACATTTGCCAGACTTGATTTTTCTCAAATTAGGCTGATGTAGGAGATATGGTAGAAATGTGGATAAGCAACAACAACTAAAACAAAAAAGAATTCAGGGTGGGAGCAGGGAATTTACAACTTCTCCAAATTAAAATATTTTAAATTTCTTAATAAAGACATACATAAAGCAACATATTTCTTAACTTAAACCGTGCTAAGCTTTTCCTCAAGGCTTCTGTGATTACACTCAGAGTACCAGGCTCTAAAGACAATAGACTGGTTATACTGAGGGTATACTCTATCTTTTGAGATAGCTAAGAAACAGTGGGGAAAAAAATATCTTTTGCATTATTTCTATTAATCACTGTTAAGGGACTAGCTATAATTAATTAGGGCATCATTTTCAAAGTTAGGTGTCCCAATAATTTTGCTGCCTGATTTTTCCTAGATGCAGGGCACCCATCAATCAAGTTTAGACACAGAAGTCATTCACTATCATTATTAACAATATCAGAAATAACACAACAAGAGGAGACAAACTGAGCCTTTGGTATTTGACAACAATTAAAATTTAAGAAAAAGAATTTTGAAATACCTTACTACCTATGATGAAACATATAGAATACTCATAGAGAACAACGAAATAGTTAAAAATATGTTGCTCATTGCTGAACACTTATGCTACATTTGATTGTGAAATCATTAGCTTTTTGGATATTAGGTGCAAAAAAGTGCAAAGAATATTTAGTTAACTGTTACAGTACCACATTACAAAAAGTATTTTCTAGACCACAAAGGCCATTGCTAATATAATTTATATTAAGATAAATGTATACATAAAATAATTTTTCAATCTCCACATATATATATATATATATATCTGTTTCTATATCAACCTTGCAGAATCATGTTGAAAATTAACTAGGCCACAGAATTTCATCATGATAATAATGATGGGAGGAAAGAACCTCACAGAGGAGAGCTTGTTCTCCTATTAAAAAAATTACTCACGCAGAGTAAATGAAGGAATGAAATTCTGCAAGACCACTCTGTATTTATGGTGATGAAAATACAATCTTAAGCAGGGAGGATCAGTGTTCAGAATTACCAACCCTCTCTGGGAGAAACCATTTCCGCCTAGAGGCCATGAACAGCAGCCTGAAACAGACATTCACGAACTTGGGCTGGAGTTTTTTCTTTTTTTTCTGCTTTTTTCTTTCCCCCCCCCCTCTTTTTTTTTAATGTTTTAAATTTATTTGTAAAGACTGTCTGAAAGACTGATTTTTATATTCATTTGCTTGTCTGCTGTGTTTGTAGTCACAGAAGGTAAGGTGTAAAACCTGCCTCCTTTTTTGACTTAGAAACATCTGCAATGTTAAGGCCAGCCTTCCTAACTTTCTTGGAGCAGTTAAGACACTTCGAGGCATGATTGACTGCCTTAGAGATTAGTTAGTGGAATGGAGGGACTGGATTGTCATAAACATTTTCTGTGTCAACCAGGCTAAACCAACCCAAAATGGTTCTTCAGAAGTTTGTCAAAACTACCTTTCCCCTTCATATCTGGATTAATTCTCAAAACTTCTTTCATTATCTTAAACCAATCTTCCATTGGCCTTTTTTTTCATTTATGACACCTTTTTCCTGTAAAAATGCTGTTTTGGAAAACACAAACACTGTCTTCTGTTTTCTTTATATATTGCAAAGATACAAAAAGTGCCAAACCTCAACTTTTTTCTAGTTACAGCTCAGCTTTCAAAATCTCAGACCAAACTGTGCAGTCTTTGCCATGCTCTTAACAGAAAGAAGAAAAAAGAAAAAAGAAATAGCTATCTGATTTATCCAACTGAGGTGAGCTGTAGTGTTTGAAAGAGAGAAATTCACAAAATAAAATGTAGTTCTCTTATAGTTTTTAAATCATCCGACTACAGCCAATGTTTTTTTTGCATTTGCTGTCACTGTGTACTCTGATAAATAGCTACATTTCAATTTTTCTCTCCATATACTGACAGAAAACATATCTAAATATCTCAAATTCATATTTAGTATATAATTCCAGAGGCATACAGCTGGCGACCAGAAACTATTCCCCGTGCGCTATGCATACAGTCAAAATAACTTCAAAGTAATCTCAATCTGTCACATTAAACCAAGAAGCTGAAAAACATTCTGGGTTACTGCAGTATTTGTTCAATTTTCTGAACAGATAAAACACATTAAATCAATTCCTTTACTTCAGAGCATTCTCTCCTAGTTTGACTTGTGTAAAAATCAGGCAAGGACTGCATGATGCCAGCAACAAACTGTTTTGAGGGGCTGGATGCACCTCCTCAGGAGACACCTGCATCCCTGTGGAGCTGCATCCACTTCCGCACCCCTCACTGCAAAGACATTCCCTTTCCACAGCAATACCCGTACATGCACTGTCAGTGCCACACAGAGACACCCCAGACAGCTCTTTGTCAGCCACTGGGCAGCTGAAGGAAACCATCTTCTGGTGCCTGGGGGCACGTGCCTGGCTGCTTTGCTGGACAGGATAACAGGGGCAGCTGGCATTGTGATTGCTGGAAGATTATAACTGCATAGATCCATTTCTGATGCCTGTTCCATAAGGGTTGAACTAAAACCCAGCAAAGCCAGTAGATCCTTGCCATTGGCTTTGGTGGACTTTTGATCAGCCCTTCCTCCCTGCCCAAGGAATGAGCCGATTTTACACTCAAAACATGACAACAGTTGTTTTTTTTTCTCATGCAACATTCAGTTTGGAATGCTGTCTTGCAAGGTCTCTCAGGATTTAGTGCAATTTAGAAGAAATTTATGACATGAGATACATATATTTATACTATTTGCTCTCCCTCAAAAGAATTAGGCCTTAAAAACTGCAGTAGTTTTGAATTGCTTAAGGGATTTTTTTTTCCCTCTGTTCTCTTCGTCTATGCAAAGATACAGGTCATATCAAAACACTGCTTGGGTATGACACTGGATACATGCCAGCGATAAAACAGGTGAATGAATTTGCACAAGGAAGGGTTATATTAGACTGGAGTCAACTTCATTCATACATTAAGAAATTATTATAAACTGTATAATAAGACTTAGAATAGGAAAAATGTATTTTAATAAAAAAATATGGATACAGTTCATCTGTGGAAGCCGAACCTTCTGTTTATGTAGATGGGAGGGAGCTTTGGACACTGAGCATGATGAATCCACTCTTCTTCCTTAGGGTGTAAGCGGAGGTTTTGGTGATGAACAAGATCCTTGGCTATCAAAACTGGATGCTCGGCCAGGTAGCTGCAAGAAAAGTGTTATGTTTACAAATGTCATCAGATCTGGCTGTGCATCACACTCATTTCAGAGGAGAGATTCTCTCAAAAAAGAATTCAAATCACATCCAGACCCTTTCTAGCCTCTGCATCAAAGTCTCTGGCATCAAAGTCTCCAGCAGAGCTAATAATGGAAAGAAAATTTTTAAGTGACCTAAAAATGCCTCTAACTTTTTCACATAAGGGGGTTTATTTCACTAGTCAGGGGTGGTACCTCTGTCTCCAAACCTAGATAAGTTCTTAAAGCTTCCACATGCACCTTTCTGAATCCAAACCTGTGAGCATTTTGTATACAGAACACTAGCAATATGTGGCCACAGCAGGCTGAAGCAGGACTTCAAGTCCAAGGACTTATAGATATAATGACCTATGCATTCGAACAAGCTTCCAATAAGTGTCTGTTGAACAGCTCTGGAGGGAGCTGCTGGTATGTTCCTTGAATTTAGCACAATTTGCTGGCCAATTTCAGATCAGTGTTTTAGTAACAACTGTTCCCGCTAAAGGTTTTTGAATAGAACATGATACCTTTTGAAATTCTTGCAAATGATCTGTAAAGTAGATGTAAGTTCCTTATCATAAACTCTAGAAATTTTTGATGTCTTAATGTAATTTTGCAGTGCCATTAGAGCATCATGGAAACTTTTGAAGTGGTCCCTTTAAATAATCAATAAACCCATGCAACTAGACTTAGGTTGTGCTAAGGATCTTGCAGCTGACATTTAGATGCTGCATTGATTTTGTTGTTCTCAGAAGCACATAAGTGTGAGAGGCAAAAACATCCAATATCCTGAGAATGAGAAAATTTTGCTAGTTCTTACCTCCAGTAGTGGATGCCAGTGAGTTATTGGTTTACGTGGGTAAGCCAACATTTCATTCCAATGATCTCTTCCAAGCCCTTCAGCATCAATGCCTGTCCGACATACCCCAATGACCTCATTGTGCCCTACTCTGAGAATTGTAGAGAGACAGAATTTGTTTTTAATAAAAATAGTTTTAATAACATCTGATGTACAATTCTGTTTACTGGTTTAGTGTGGCACAGAGTACACGACCAAAGTTTTCACAGCATTTATTACAGATATTAGTTTTAATGGTAGTATAGTAATATTAAGTTCTGTATTGGTAACATCAAAAACCTCCAGCCACTATCAGAGTGCTTCTAGCAGCTATAAAAATAGCAATGAAGACATAACCTTTACCATTAAAAGGTTACAACCCAAAAGACAAAAGGACAGAAAAGGATCATAATACACAAAATTACCTAGAAAGAAAACATGCTTGAATTTTGTGGGAGAGGAAGGTAAAAATGATGGGGTATACATTTCAAGCTACAGATCCTTCAGACATCATTTCATAAACTTATTCCCAGCTCTAGTTGTTGTGATCTTTGGAAGTTCAGTCAGAAAAGTGAAAGGTAAGCATCACAGCTGTAATAGGTTATACCTTAATACTTCATACTCCTAGCAGTGCCATAGACTTGCTGAGGGACTCCAGAAAGTAATTTTCTGTACCTTGACTTTATGTACCTTACAATAATGCTTTCTAATTTCCTCTTAGCAAATGCTGGGAAAGGAGCAGCTGAGGAGGACTGCAAGTGTGCAAGTTGCTGTGCAACTAACAGCACCACAGTGCCTCTTTCACATCTGACAGAGAAAGTCTTACTGACAGAAATTGGAGGACAACCAGAAATCTAATGGCAAGGAAAAACAGTCTGAAGGGTGATGTTACTAAATTGGACTTTCAGCATTTATTTGCCCTGCAATCTCAAGAGCTCATTACTAATAGCACTTGAATGAAGCAGACTTGGCTCAGGCAGGATTCTGTCAGTCACTGTCTAGTTCAACCTGCAGTCCTTGAGTCACTCTAAGCAGGAGTCTCTTCTTGTCAGTTCTGGGGGAAGTACACAGATAACTGAGGTTTAAATATGTTGTCAGTGAGGGCTGAACCTAAAGGTTACATATTCAAAGGTAACTTTACTGAATCAACCAATTAATTATTATTTAATTCAATGTGGCAATTAGCATCTAGTTCTTTTTCAATCATTCAAATTTTCTTTGGTTTCAAATACCTGCCGTTTAAATAGAAATAAGAGGTGTGAGGGATTTTTTTAAACTGGAAGATATATCTGATTTATAAAGCTTTTACACAGTACAGCCACCAGATGTGTACAGGAATGTTTGCCAATGCTAATGGTCCATAGGAAGATGGAGCCATATTTCTCCCTCATCACAGTTATTTATGACATAGATAAAAGGCTAAAAAGTGTGGAAGCTTTAAACCTCTTCAGGAAAAAAACCTAAGGCTTTATCTTTTGTACCTCTGAAGCTGCTTATTCAAGGAGGTAGAAAGCAGTGACTTGCAATGATCAGGTATTGTCTCACTGACGATTAACGGTCAGAAAGCAAACTGTGCTTACCGATCATAATCCATCACTGCAATGGAGAGGCTGACCTGGTCCACGTTCTCTGGAGGGATATCAAAGATGATGGCCTCGTTATAAATGGGATTGAGGGTGTTCTTCTTCGTGGTGGTTTTCCGCTTTTTCAGTCTTCGTCCCTCACACATGAGGGACACTTTGACATACGGATCTGAGGGACAGAAAATCAGTTGCACACATTTGGACACAAAGTCATTCAAATGTGTAGCATAAGGACAATGTTAGTTGTAGAAATGTAATATTGATAAGATAGAAAATTCCAAAGATCTTAGTGACCCTGGGAAGCATTGCTTTCAACATGCTGTAAAGGCAAAGGAAAGGTATATAGGGTCTATATCCATTCTCCAGCTATTTCCATCCCACAACCACGTTAAACACAGAAAACCCAAGGAGTTCTTATTCATCCCCTTCTTGAAGAAACTCTCCTTTGTTATTTTAAAAAAAAAAAAAAGTAGATTCACCTGATGCTCCAGTTATATCCATTGCTTTGAGATTCCTACATTTGATGACCGTCAATGTCATTCTCCCAGCAGTAGGCAAATAACAAAGGGAAAACATGATCTCACCCAAATCTATGCTTTCCTGAAAAAGCAAAGCAGTGATTAGAAATCTGATCATACTGCCAACAATTCAGTACAGATCATGCAAAACTTTGGAATTTCTCTTCTAATGTGGAGAGAGGCTTCTTTTGCATCCTCAGATGCATTTTGAAGGGATCATAAGTAATTTAAAAAAATTATTTCCATAAAGTACAGAAAGAGTAACAACAGGGTAATAATTTAGGGACAGGATGTACAATTAATAAACTGAGAAATTAAAACAAAAGCAGAACCAAAACTTTCAGGATTCCTGACAAGTTTGTGTTGAATTCACACAAATGAAAAGGTGCTGAATGTAGAATGTCAAGTTCTGCTCTTGAAAAAACTCATACTCTATCAACAACACTTGAATTTATGTAGGAGATTTATTTCTAGACACCTGTATGTGAATGAAAAGCTAATCCTGTCAAAGAAGAACATACTTGTAAAAGTTGCTGTATTTACTGCTTTTAATGTGCTTTGAGGGGTTGTTCTGTTTTAGAAGAAAAGCAAAGTAAAGGAGTAGCATCTACAGCTTTCCTGGCTCAACAACAGCTTTTTGGAGGATTATATACTCAGAAAGATTGGTAAGGCCCATATGGATCTTAATAATCCTCACAAAGAGACAGCTCCTAGACTGAGACAATGTGCTGTAAATTTATGCAATATGATATTGCTATACAGTTCTACAATACTTGAGAAATGTAACATAAGGAAGAGTTTCCACCAGTTCTTATTTTTTTTCTTTTCTCACAGTTATATAATTGTCCTAATACTGTAAAAGTTTAGTTCTTGAAATGTTAGTTATGTTCTAAATTGTTCTTGTTCTAAACTTTAACATCCGCTCCCAAACTCCCCCCACCCCCTAAAAAAAAAAAAAGACCAAAAGAAAATTGCATATTAAGAACTCATGATACGAGTTTGTAAGGAGCATGAAAGGAAGCCACTTCTGTAAGGCAGCCACTCTCAAGCATGCTCATGTGGTCTCAAAGGACCTTTTTTGACTACTACTAAAAAGCTTATTTTTAACAGCTCAGCTTCAATATTTTATCTGTGAAAGCTACAGTTACCCTGAGAGCACAGATTCTCTTGAGAGCTGCTGGATTTATCCTACAGCTGTTCTGGCTTCAGGAGGCAAGCATGATATATTTTTAAATGGAACATATTAAAATAATGATTGCTGTGTAGATGACAAATACATTGTTTATAGTTATGAGGCAAGACTGTGACTTCTTGTTAACGTTCTTCAGCTGCTTATATGAAGAGTTTTATTGACTACCTTTGGGTTAATATTCTGTCTAAATTGAAATAGGTGCTTCAGATCTTTCTTGACTTAACACAGACTTAATCACATGCTTCAGGGTTTGGGTTTTGTTTTGTTTTGGTTTGGTTTTTTCCCTGCATTGCAGACTTTATATTGAAGAATGTAGTTTTGGAATAGCTTTAAATTCTCTGCTGTGCTGGTAATAAAATATTGACTTTTGTGTAGGTTGGTCAATTCACACGTTCAGTCGTTTTGCTGAGATTCTGTTCTGAGAATTAACGGACTGATAAGCATGTGAACATGCACTATGGGAAAACTTCATGCTTGTCAGTATTTCAGATTTTTCAGGATTTCAAAATGATTTAACTAGTTCAGTCCACATAGTACAAATACAGCTATCTGACATCTCCTTAGGCCAACCCCTTTCTTTGACAGGAAGAGCACAGAATTTTGTGGCACAGGGTAAATTACCAAACTCACTTTTCTATTTCAGAAAAAAAAAAATAAAACTTGAACAAATTAAGTGTAATTATTTTCACTCATTTGTTAAAGTGGCAAGTGCTCTCATATTTTACAGTTTTTGTTATATATGAAAACTGGTTAAAGCACAGCTTCTGTTACAAGCATTACTTTCTGAATTCAGAGTCTGATTGTTGTTCTTCATATCCATATGTCAAACAGATCTCACAATTTTGTTTGAAAAGAACAGTTCCCCCACTTTCAGCGCTTTGAAGTTTAAGGTCCATGTTGAGAGAGGTGACGAAGACAGGTTGGATATGAAATAACATTGGCAGTTCATAAAAAAGCCCAATTTTTCCTTCTTCAGAGAGATGACTTGTAGGTGAACAGAAAAAAAATTCACTTTTGAAGACAGGAACATGAACTTGAGTATTCTGTTATTTATATGAGAGAAATTGGATAGACACTTGAAAGTTTGGGTGAGCTCAACTGATAGAGAAGAATACTGACAGGGCGATGCACTATGACTTAAATACTTTAAAAAAGGCATTGCTCAAAATGCTTGCAAAACTCCATGTGGTGGTTACTCTACAGTACTTTTTGAAGAGGAGAGAAAAGCATCATTGCTTAATAAAATGGCAACCATAAGAGTCTCATGCCCAGTTCTTTTTCTTTCCTTTCTGAACAGCATGAATATTGAAAAAGGGCTTGGAAAATGCCCTGCAATCACACACAGTGTTTTTGACCATTCAATGTATAAGGAAGTTGCCTTAATGCAAAAAGAAATGCTCATAAAACCAATGAGGGGGATCTTTTCACTCTGTCCAAAAGGCAGATACTGAAGTTACTGGAGCTCTTTAACTTGTGTGCTAACTGCTCAGTCTGAAGTGGTAAGTGATGGTTTTAGGATTGGGAAAAGGCTCCCTATCACTCCACTGTTTATGCAGGAATTTTCTGACATCTATGCTCTATATCTGGAAAAAAATGTGGCTTGTGCGGCCCTGAAAGGTCTGACTCTTACTATGGAACAACACTCATGTTTCAATAGATAAATTCTGCAGCAGCAAACTAGAATAAATAATATTTCACATAAATGCTTGTCAATATCAAAGACATTTATGAGTCAGACATTGTAAGATCAAAGGGTTGGAAACAAAATCAGTGGTTACCCTGCACTAGTCCATAAACTACACCTAACTCTCCTCCTGGTGGAGAGAACTGGCTGTCACAGATTGCCACTACAGACTAGGAGTTCCCATGGTCCCCAGACTGAGTTAAAATACAACTTCTTTCAGAATCTTTTAAACAATTGGGATGATTTTATCTTCTTAATTTCATTTGGTACTATTTGTGGCATCTGTTGTTTGCTGACAGTTTTGTACACTGTGTCTTTTTGATCAGTAAGGAATAGGAAGTCCTAGGACTTTTACTCAGTTTCTACTCTGAGTATCTGCCAAGAATGGTGGTCTTTCTTCATACATGAGTGTGAAGCTAACTATATTTTCTTAGGACCTCTACAAGTCCCCTGGAAATTAAGAAATTAAAAAGAATCATTAAAATAAATATGCTTTGGAAATCAATCAGAGTGTGAAGCACAAGATTCTGAACTCTTAAATGTTCTTTTGAAAATTTAAGATTAAAATTATGCATATATATATAGGATAGCATCAGAGACTCAGTATTTGATGAAATGTCTGGGATATCACCTTTCCCCCACACACACACTTTTATTGTTCACTTGAACTCAAGAGGTTTATGAATTTGGAGCTGCAAACACAGGTTCAGATCTAGATAACAAACAAAATAAGGCTTTGTGCTTCTTTAAACTTCTTATGACAGTCTTTGTCTATAACATTGATTATCATGAGTAACATTTTTAAATTCCCTGGATCCTTAAGCATTATTGATTTTAGTTGAGACTTAAAAATAGGATGCAAATTGCTTTGGAATCTCAGTGCTCTAGAAAATCTATATTTTTCTCACTTTATAATACACTACATAATTAAGTTCACTCAAATAATCTGACAGGAACCCTTCAGTACAAGCAAATCTGAGGAAGCTAAGGCACACACTGCCTGCAACAACCATGTCTGCATTAAAGTTCACCTCAAACAAAACACAACTCAGAAGGTACAATCCTGAACTCGGTAGTTGCCAGTCATGCAAATTTTTAGCTATGCCTCAGATTGTCTTACATGTATCCTATATTTACCTATATTACCTATATTATAGAATTGCATATTACTTACATTACTCCTATGAAATTTTATCTCTTTCCTAGACCTATTTTGAGTTTTTTTTTTTTGTTTTGTTTTTTTTTCTTTTTTTTCCTTTGGAACTAAACTTAAGATTTCAATTAACAGCTGCTAGCTTTACAGACACTTGTAATGAGTGCTCCCCATCGACTTCCAGTAACAGGTACAGACAAACCAGCATTAAGCACAGTTGCACTAATGCAAATGGAAGCATTTCTTGGTACTTCATATCTCTTATTTCCCTTTTGTGTTCATAAGTCATCACACAGCATTAAGGAACTGGAGCAGTGGCAAACACTACACCATCTTCAGTTGTTTTTATAGCTACCATTTTACTTCTATTCAATCCATTTTCTGGTATGGTGATGGTAGAACAAAAATAAAAAAACAGAAAACAATGATCTCATGTGTGTATGTCACTTATTCAGATGAACCTCATTTTTTTTTTTAATCTGCGGAATACAGATTTTTTTAAATAGCGTAATTTTCACCCCACACAACCAACCATGTGCTAATAATTTTTTCCATTAGTTCCATTAGGAGATATCCATTAAGATCTGTCTGCATTCCCTGCTTTATGGGCTCTTGGGAAATCAGTCCAGAAGTTGGTAAAGTCAGATGAAAAAGGTTCCTTATTGTATTATATTTGTTACCATACCCATTGGACACCAGTGCCCTCATTTTCACCCTTATGCCTGCAGAATTAGCAGGATTTCTACTGAGGCTGTGCTCCCCACTCATAACACCGATAAACAGTGGAAGGGTCTGAGGAAGAGTTTGGAGAAGTTGTAGGGGAGCATCAATTAAAGTGATCGAGTTTTTGGAACTGCTGTTGCTTGAAAAAGCATTGCTGTCACTTACTCCAATTAATTTTCCCAGTTGTTTCCACTAAATTCAATAGGAGAGACAACTTTAATTAGTAACCTCCACAAATTCAGGGGGGAAGTTAGGTACAGGTCCTTCCATGTTCAGGGTAGTTTTTACTCACATATCAACACCCATAATCCCGAACTGAACAGAAAAAGT